AGTGCAGAATCACTCCAGCATCCCCTAAAGTTAAGATTACGTGAGAGACGTTGGTGCAACCGGGGCCCGAAAGTTTCGCGTCGGCGCCGTCAAGCTGATCCTCGCGCGCGAATCAGGGACACTCCCTCGTCTCCGAACGGCGAGACGCTCGCCCGCAACCTGACTCAACACTTCATGTCGATGTCACATCCCGCTGACTCACCCGATGCTCCAAATGACACGCGCATTCTCTCCGCGATAAACAAAAAATTCCTTTCTACGACACTGCGTGCGAAAGTGCGCCCGTCCCCCAATTCCCACGGGCGCGAAATGTGCGTGTGCGTGCGTGCGCGCGCGGGCTGTGTAACTGTACGCCCAATCAATCAGCCATTATTTCCTCGCGCCTGACGCGTCTAATTCGACGGTTCAGCTCGACGGAAAGCGACACGCGCGTTAAGAGACCGAAATAGAATAAAGGAGGAACAAATATAATCATTAAAGACAGCGGCCGAAGGAAGGCTACCAACATCGGATGGCAAGCGCAACAAAGAGAACAGCGACGGACGGAGCCGATCCTCCGTCTATTGAGGTGGCACTTTGACATTGTGATTAGCTAGGAATATAGACACAGCGCTGCGAGCCGTATTCTTCCTCTTTGTTCCTCGTCTCGTTCTCCCGCTTCATTGTGCCGACCCTGTTTCGTTGTGCCGAGGGAAAAAAAAAGACATCTGCTCTTTCTCTCGCAGCCGTTATCGAAATTGAGAATAACGCAGCCGCGCGCGCGCGCGGAAGAATAGGTGTCGAAACCACACCAGACGCGGGCCCGTATGCGATTGGGACGCGTGTGTCCCGCATGCGTGAGCAGGCGAATACCGCGCTCGCACGTGCTCGCGCTCCGCTCCGCCGAAAACCCGAGCGTGTCCGCATCGCGTCGCGTCGCAGGAGCAAGCGGGGAAAGGTTAGCGGGCCTGAAAAAGTACGAGTACGCGCGCACGTGCGTATCTGCGGACCAGGCCGCAGAATGGGGACCTATTTTTGGCGCGTGCACCCCCTCGGTCCGTGTAAACACGCGACCGGAGCGCAACAGGGGCGCAATAAAGTCGCAGGAGGCGGGGGATCCTGAAGAGCCGACAAGCCGGACAAAGCGGAAACGGGTTCGCGCCGGCGAACGGCGCGGGGGAATTCGGTCAAAATTAGCACGATCGGCACGCAAATAAACCAGCGACGTGCGAGAGAGCGACATCGATCTCTCGGCGAGTTCTTTGCCTCGGCGACTCGATTAGCGCCGACCGATGTCGAAACCCGAGTCACGGCGTCTCTCTGGCGCGAGGAGACCGCGGCACTCGATCTCAACCGGGAATTGTATTCAGCGCCGAATGCGCTATAAAGAGCAAACCCGCCTCCTTTCTTTCTCGGAGGAGAAAAAGGCAGATGTGGGCAAGTTAACGACCCGTTATCGCATGAACGCTGCTGCCGCCGTCGCCGCCGCCGTTGCTGAAACTGGTTGCTGCCGATCGCGGGGCGCGGATCGAGGGGGTCGCGGCGAGTTCCGCGCGGAGGAGAGGCCGCGGGGCGCGTTGCATCGGGGAGCGGCGGCGGCGAAGCGCGCGAGAGGTGCGTTTGGCGAGGCCACGGAGGAACGAGCGTACGCGTGCAGGTGCAGGCGCACCGACGCCTCTCCTCGCCGCGAGCGGATTTTCGCGGGAAAGCCGCTGCCGCCGCCTTCCGCGTCGTCGTCTTCATTTACACACAATGCTCACGCGATGTTAATTAACGGAAACATATAATCGACGATAACGTACGACGCCGTTGCGCGACGGTGACTGGATGCAAATGCGAGCGTTACCGGCGAATTGTACGAGGTCGAGTAGTTTTCTTTGTCGCAAAAACGGCCGAAGGAATAAAAACGTACGTTACAAAAAGTCACCCGTGAACGGAAAAAAAAAATGTGAGACCGAGATGCGTTTCCGAAGGATCGGCATTACCTCGGGTCTTTCTCCGCTAGTTTCCCCGAGCGGCAACAATCGCTCCCTGACTGCAGGTAGAAGCCTGTTGTACATACAAAATCGGCACAAAAGCGAAAGAGAGGGAGAAAAGGGAAGCGACGGAGCGGCCATAGAAAAAGAGAACCGTCAAGAATACGTATCCTACGCGTTGCTCTGCCCCGTCTTTCGCCCTTTTCCCAGTCTATCGACTGCACAAGGCTGGTCCGCGAGTAAACGCGAGAGATCTCTCGAGCTTCCAAGCACACATGTGGCGGTTTATCGCGGCCGATTATTCCACTGTCAAGTCGATCGAGCCACTCTTCCCTCGATACGAGATCAATTAATGTAGCCTAAGCCTTTAAGGCCTGTATCAAATCGACATTGAGATTAGATCGAGAACTAACCAGTCAGACTAACATTCACTAAGTACACTTCGCTCTGACTAGTCAAATTTCAATATAATCTCAATCCCAATCCGTAGTCCAATACGGGCTTTCGAGAAAGAAGATTAGATTAGATGCAACTCGAAGATTAGGATTCAATCGAAGTAAAAATGAAATGGATTAAAATCAAGCTTATCCGATCGGTCGAATTCTTATCCAGTTGGCAATTCTCGAGGGGGAAACCGCTGAGGGCATTGTGGTGTACAGATTTGCGGCATTACTGGGCATTACTAGGGCATTTTTTGGGCATTACGTCTTGCTGGGGCATTATAAAGATAAAATAAGATACAATAAGATAAAATAAGATAAACCAAGATAAATGAGATAAAAGAAGATAATAAGATAAAGTAATGCCCACTGGGCATTAGTGGGCATTGGTGTATAAGATTTTGGTCAGCGGTTTCCCCCTCGGCAATTCTCGATGCGGGAGATTAATAGGAAATCGCAGCTAAAAATACTCGATTGATAAAACAACTGGGCTCCGTTGTACATAACTTCGAGAAGCTCTCTTTGTCCCGCCCGTGCGACGAGGTGTGCGAGGAATCAGGCCGGTTCCCCATGACTCGCATTTTTTGAGGCGCGTAGGTCACGAAAATCACTCTCAGGTCTGTTTAGCATTTCCGTTAAAGCCTGTGTTCTCGATGCTAGAACACAATGGTTGAACCAAGTTCTAGGCATCGTGGACACAGGCCTGTAGAATGTGCGTTTCGTTTCACGCATGATGCATCTGTTATCCTTATTCATTAACTGTTTAAAAGAAATTAATGACGCATCATGCGCATCATGCGTGAAACGGAAAGGCCTAGAGGGTGCTTTCCAGCAACGCACACAAGCGACACCGTGTAACACAGTGAATCGTTTTCTCTTTGTTGTCTGCCAATTATTAAACAAGGCCGAAATTAATCTCTGTGTTGCATTGCGCTAATCTGTGTCTCTTGCTGGAAGGCACCCAGAGCGTATAGTAGAAATTCTAATCAGCTATTGGTTATATTAGTTTAGTCCGGTCCATAATAATTTGTAATCGTTAGGGCCGCTATTTGCAACGTCTGCTAACCCTTTAATCGACCGTTCAATTTCAGAATGGCCATTAGGAACTGACAATGAGTGGCAACCGGAGTAATAGAAATTGAAATTTAACGGTGGGATAGAATTAACATTCGTTGAAAATAGTGGCCCTTATGCTTGTTTCTACCAATGCAGATTAACTTTGATCTCGGTTTCATTTACTTTCCATCTTTTCCCAACTGTTTAGGTACGGTTTCACCAACGTTGCTTAACTTTAGGCTTCGCTTATTTCGTTCTTTGTCTCTTTCTATTACTTCAGGAAGAGACAAACGTAAATTAAACTAAGTTTAAGTTAAAGCGACGTTTAATGAAACCGGGCCTTCGAACAAGAAAAAGATAAAAAGGAAGTTAGACCGAGATAAAAATTAATCTCCATTGGTAGAAATGGATAGAATGGACATTAATTGCAACAGTCAGAACTGGGCGAGAGAAAAAAAGATCGATATGCAGTCCCGACTTCTGATCGAGGAGCAGCAAACTCGTTGCAGACCGGGCCTCACGCATTTTGCACAATTCCGCGAAATACGCCCCGCGTGAATGCCGACTCGCTTTGTCCCCGTCCGCGACGACTCGAAATGTCGGCGGCGCGGCCGAGGAACATCGGAGCACACGGAGCCGCGGTATGCGCGATTGCGCGATCCCGAGCGCGCGCGGAAAAGGTCGGCCGCTGGAAATCGCGCGTACGTAAATACGGAGCACGTCCGGGTGATAATTCGGGGATGGACCAAAAATTGCTCGATTATTCGAACACAGGTAGATGCTTTTTCGACAATATACGACCCGATGCGAATTAATGCACCGCGCTGTGCGTGCACGGCCCGCTCGTTCGGGGGTTAAGAAGTGCGCGACCACCGAGCAGATGGTGGGGCACGGAATCAAGATGGCGTAACGACCGGTCGTTCCTTCGAGGGGATCGTTCGTCCGTGCACGATGACTGGACGAAACCCGGGAAGTACACACACCGGCTCGATTCTCGGAGCCGACCCGCGCCGGCCGCGGCGACTCGCCTCGCGGGGGCTCGTCCTCGGGGAAGGACGAGCGGGACGCCGACGTGGGTCCCCCTCGCAACGCGGCTGGCGCCGTCCGCTATATCGATTGCCGTTCCGGCTTGCCCATTTTCAAAATGGCGCGGGGAGGGGACGAACGCCCGGTCGAAATCCGGATGCCTCGGAGCGCGCTGCGGCGAGGCCGCGTCCCGTCGAGGACCCGGTCGCGACTCCCGCGCCTCGCCGCGCTTCCTGGTGGCCGGCTCCGCCGAGGGAGAGCCGGCCGGCGGACGGCGACGATGCCAGGACGATGCGTCGCGCACGCACGCGCGGGCTGCCCGCGAGGAGGAACTTTCTTCGGGCGCGCAACAGTTACTCCGGCGAGGCCCCGCCGCGAAAATACCGGCTCCCTTTTGTTCCGCGGCAGAAAAACGAGAGAGAGAACGCGAAACGATCGATCGCGCGGGGCGCGCGGAGAACGATGCCGGGACGCCGGACGATCGGTCGCACCTCACTCTCTTTCTCTCTCTTACAGTACTCACCTCTCGGAGAATCTCAGAGAGGTCTTTTCCCCGCTGCGAGGAGACGCGGCAGGTGTATATATGTACGTTGCCGGCGACGCGCACTTGGCGATGCACCTTGTAAAAAAAAAACCTTTCTACTCGGACCACGCACGGCCCGGCGGCACGAGATGCGGGACGCTTCCACGGGCGTCTCACAGGTTCACGCGTGTACCCGCGACGGCGACGGACGGGACGCTCCCGTGTCTGTCACGGCGATACCGGCGAGCGCGCGGGAGAAGAGAGGCCTCTCTCTTTCTCTCTTTCACTTTCGCTGCGGCGTGACGACGAGCGACTATTTTTTCCAGGCGGGAGCACGATCGCGGGCACATCCACTTGGCTCGGTAACGCGCAACCAACTGGCGGCGAGAACGAAGCGGAGGGGAAGCCGCGTCCGTCCGTCTGTCGGTCGGTCGGTCGGTCGCTCGCTCGCTCGCTCCGTCCGTCCGTCTTTCTGTCACCAATGCGTTGCTCGCTCGTACCAACGAGTCGGTTCCCTCTCCCTCGCTGCTCTTCTCTCTTTCTCTCTCACTCGCTCGTCCGTCCTTTCAGGATGCTTCTATTTCTCTTTCTCTTCTTCCCTCGTTCCCTCCTCTCTCTATATTATTCCGTTTCTGCCTCGCTAGCCGTCCCCTCCGTCGCTCCCGGTCTTCTCCTTCCTCACCGTCTCTCGTTCTCTCCGCACGCACACACCCCGTACACCGTGCTCTCTCTCTCTCACCTTTTTATCTATCGTCTGCCTCTTCTCCTTGGTAAATCGCGGGTACACGTCGATGCCTCGGTCGAGAATCGTGAAAGGGCGCACCGGGGAACGGCGGCGAGACCGTGTGCCTCTCTATCTCTCTCTCCTCCTCCTCCTCTCGCGGAACGTTCCTGGCGAAGGATGCGGCCGGAGCGCGGTGGCGACTGGCGACGACGTGCACGCGAATCGGGACGAATCACGGGACTACGCGCGCCGGCCGGGCTCTACGCTCGGGTTAATGATCGATCGGCTCCTCTCGCGGCGCGCCGGGTAGCAGCGGCGGCAGCAAACAACGAGAGATATCGCTCGCCGTCGAGAGACGCTCCTTTGTTCCGAACGCGACGCTCCCCGGAAGACACCCGAACGGCCGGTGTCTCGCGAGAGAGATCTGCCCTCGCGCTCTCGCAGCGGCCGTCAAGGCTCTTTCTCTCTCTCTCTTTCTCTCTCTTTCGTCGTCCCTCGCTTTTTCCTCTCTCGCGCCGGTCCCGCGGTAAAACGCTCCCTCTCGCCACTCTCGATCCGCGCCTCTCGACCGTCCGGGAAAGAATGAGCACCACCGACAACGGAGTCGGAGGGGCGCGGCAGGGATGTAACGGGCGAGACCCGGCGCCCCGGGATCTCGGCCCGCGGCATGGTGGCAGCCCTGCCGCCGACGACTCCAGCTCTCCTAACCAGGAGCGAGAAGGGAGCACGGGGCACGAGCGAGGTCGACGTAGGGCGGGGCCCTGTGCGTTACGAAGGGTTACTTACCTAGGGACACGCTCGCGCCGAACCTCGCCTCGCGCGTCCGAGCGGCGGTTTTCAGGGTCGTGCCTGAGATCCGGGCTCCGACCACGATCTGTCCATTTTGTTGAATTTCGCGCGGATTATCGGCGAACTCGCGTGTATTTTTCCTACTCTCCAAAAATCAATCAGTGGTCAAAAGAGTGAATAGTCACTGATTTGCAGTTATACATGTACCACTACAAATCGCAGTATACTTATAACTATGAATCAATTACTATTCACTGTTTTCAGCGATAATCTGATTGACTTTTAGAGAGTACGCAATCTAGTCTCGCGCGAAGGATACGTAAAGGCCGAATCAGACTAGCAATTGCAAACTCGGATTGGATCGGGATTGGCGATTGACTTCTAGCCAATGAGAGCAGACTAAATCGGCTGCTTCGCTCTCATTGGCCAAAGAACAATCGTCAATCGCCAATCCCAATCCGCGTCGACAATCGCTAGTCTGATTCGGATTGGATCGGGATTGGCGATTGTCTTCTAGCCAATGAGAGCCGATTAAATCGCTGCTTCGCTCTCATTGGCTAAAGAATAATCGTCAATCGCCAGTTCACTCCGAGTCAACAATTGCTAGTCCGATTCGGCCTTTACGCGTTACGGCTTGCACGAGAATAATAAGCTTGCCACGTCCCCCTGCCACGTTTACACCTGAACGACCAGCTGAGAGAGGACGTCCGTGAAATGTGCTATTTTTATAAGATACGCTTGATATTAAGCGCGCAATATAATGTTTACCGTCATACAATGTGCCGGGGCGAGATAAGCTCGTTCAACCGCGCTAATCTAATTCGCGGGACGCCCGGAGTGCCAGGGTAGGATCCTTTGATGGGCATTTTTATGTCTCGTACGAGCGAGGAGGATTAAATCACGTTCCTCCGTAAATCGGACAAGCTCTTTCCCTCCTTCCTTCTCGGATTGTCCGACTCCCAAACTGGTTCCGTCCGCCGTCTCGGCTAAATTTCAGTTAAGGATCGCGGATAACGATCCCCTTAAGCCCGCGTTATCCCGGGTAACGGCGCAAATAGCTGGCAATCTCCCCCACGGTGATATTTTTTATCGCCCCGCACAATTCCCGCAATCGCCGGCCGGAATCGCGTCCCGCGCTATCGCGGAATTTCCGCGGAAAAACTTTCCTCGCGAAGGGAAGGCGCCGCGCCTTTCCATTGCTCGGAGACGTGTCGCCCCGAGAGATTAAAAATTTTAATTGCCCCGTTTCACCGAATTCTCAACGAAGCCGATAGATTCCGTTCAACGAAACGCGCGGCACTCCGCTTCCAAACAATCGATTCATCGTGATACAACGAATTTCCCGGCTCTCCCCTCACTCTCTTCGATGCAGTTCGTCGATTCGTATTAAGGACGATTATAGCGGCGATTATCGCCGGCCGCTCGCGTAATCGCCGATTGCAGCGCGCTACGTGGAAATCGGCAGCCGCTCCGGCGACTTCGCGGTGGTCGCCCGAGCGAAGCAAAACATACCTGCTCGCAGCCGGGCTCGACTACATTACGAATCGCCTTTCGCCTTGCGGCAACGGGAAGCCGATGACTAATGCGTAAAACAGCGCGAGGGATGCTCGAGACAGCGGAATGCGGAGTTAGATAACGAATTTCGGGGCTTAATCGTCGATACGATGGTAAATCGGTCTTAGGCCGGTATTCATAGTCGATTCTTATTTCAAAATTATATTAAGTGTTGTCTTAAGAAGCTAATACGGCTCTGTGATTGGTTATAAATACATTAAGAGTATACTTAAGATGATCTTAAATACAAGAACGGACTATGAATACCCGCCATTGTTTCAGTTTAAACTGTGTAGAATAACTCAGTCAATTAAACAGTGTTATCAACGTTCATCGAGTCGCATTCAATTCTACATCCCCGTGCTCTATATCACAAGCCCGGCTCTCAAACTCATGGCAATCCTGATAGCCCGCGCTCCGGTTCCCCGGCACGGCAAAGGGCCCGGTATCGTCCCGACGATGCCGAATCTTTCATTGTTGAGAGAGCGTAGAAGAGAGACGAGATAAGATCAAGGATAAGATGCTAACTCGGAATCCGACCTATTGACTGTTATCCGCGATAAAAGGAGATAAGTTGTAAGAATTCGGGAAAGCTGTTGTGACACGTAACTGTATCTATGTAAAACAACAGATAGCACGTCCATTGAGAAACACCGCTCGGTCATTCAGACATAATAGTACGTCGAGCATGAGTCAAATCAAACGCGGCTTCGAAATTTATCCCCTAAGTTGCGTGTTTCTCTCCTTCATCGACAACCTCGGAAATCTATTCTGTACAGTTGTACTTCTGTAGAAAGAACATTCTTTACAAATTTACCCTGAACATTATCGTCGGACAACACGGCATTTAAGAACAATTTTATGAGAGTTAACTAATAAAAATTCTTCAATGTCGCCAGCGATAATTAACGTCAGTGCTTTCTTGACTACACCTGGCATTTTTAATAATACAGAAAATTTATTGTGAAATATATTACCTCAGCCAGGGTTTAAACCTGGACCTCTCTACACTATAGGCAGACGTCTCACCAATTTGACCACCGAGGCATATGATAATATCTGTCGCAATAACAGTATAAAGATGTTTACGCGTCTATTTCGACTTTTTGAACTGCGCGCCAATAACGGTTGTCGGCCGTACGCAGAACTGTCGAATACGCGATTTTGAAATTTTCCCTCCCCCCTTTTCCAATTGCGTGGGAAACACCATGTTTTAGGTCAATGGTGAATAATTAACTAATAAGAATTCTTCAATTAAAAAATGTTAATTTTACACAAAATTTATTTCAAATTATTTTGAGATTTGCATTTATTTTGTGTTAAAATATTAACAGAGTATTAGTGTGATTATTTAACTATCCATATTATGTTAAATTAACACAAAAATTTGTGTGGACCGTTTGGGACATGTGATATCTGTTAAATTGAACACAAATTTTTCAACTGTGTACGACACGGCGGAGCAAGAGAGAAAGAGCGAAGAGCGGAGGGAAGAAGGAGTTAAAGGGCTTCGCAGAACACGCTCCTTAATCATGGAATGTCGGGATTCCTCCTAAGAACGTTGCGAGTGGGCGCGATCGGCTCGTTATCATTTTTTACACGAGCGAATTAATCCACCGGGGATCAGTCTCTCTATCTCGGCGCGTCGCAAGTATCGCGATGCAAGCGAGCTGATGATTCTCTCACTGCCACGCCCATGAAGCTCGGTCGTTTCGGCTAACTCGCCGAAAGAGCGAGAGACGGCGCAGAAACTACGAATATTACCTCCGCCGTTTCGAGATGCGACAAACGGGGGGCGGAGAGCAGGGGAGGGGGATGCGCGATTTTGTTTTCAATCTCACTTATCTCCGGCGGGATGACGCGGCGTTAAGGAGCTGCGGTCTCCTCCTCACGATGCGAACCTTTCACTGCGAACCCGATCTGTCCGATCTGTCACGATCTTGTGCGCTAATGGCCGGCTATGCTAATCCGCGCCCTACGTAGCGAGCGCGGCTCTCTCTGTCTCTCTCTCTCTCTCTCTCTCTCTGTCCCGTTTATGTAATTAGACGAGGGAGATAATTTCTGATTCGCGCACTCCGCACGACGGCTTACTAATTAAATGCAATTATCCGTTGGCAAACAAGTTTGATCCCCTCGCGATTTGCCGCTCACAAAGCGAAACGTTTATTAACTTCTCGCCGGTCTCATTCTGTAAGAGACTCTCGAATTTTGTTTCGAGGTTAAACGGGCAATTGAGATCGGGTAAGTGGGTCAACAATTTCCTAGCGTCAACAATTAACGAGCATTATAAAATCAGGAAAGAGCGGTCTCTCACTTTATACTATTACGTTGTATATTCGTACAGTTTAATTAAGTTAATTAACAATTGTTTACGATCGCGCGCCGCGCGAGTCATAAGCAGCTGGAAATTAATGTCACAGATAATAAGTCTGCAGTTTCAAATTTTGATTCAGCAGATTCTCAATTCCAAGC